ATTTAAAATATAAACATAACATATTTTTCTTAAATATATACGTGCATGTGTTTTGTATTTATATATACATAATAAATATACACATATTATGTAAACAAAAACTTTTATTTTGGATGATTAATCGCGATTAATTGTTTGACAGCACTATTATTTACACAAGGCTGCCTAAAGAAAATCATATGCACAGTAATGCTATGGGGTAACCACTAGATGTAGCTGTACTTGTGTAGCCTTATATTTAAATATATACCATGCTATTTTTTTTTTAAAAACCCATTAGCCTTTTCTAATCATGTCACCAAGTTTCATACCACTCTGATGAAGTATAAAAATTTTTAAAACTGAAAACACTTTTTTTCGGGCTAAAATGATTAAAGGCCGCTAGAGGGTTAATTGAGATTGTGCACACTTTATTTGATCACTTGACAGCTCGTCTAATGGCTGTTATCTGATCTCTACTATAGGAGTGGCCCCTCCATCGTTTGTGGCGATAAACGCAGGGACGACGTTGTACAAGCTGGCCACAGCTGGCGAGGCCGTGTCCTGGAACTCTCTTCTCGTGTTGGGGGTTTTAGCCGTGGTCTCCATCCTGCCCGTCTGCTTTCAGAAGAAACTCCAGCAGAAACTTGAGTAGAGATCACCACCCCTGCTCGATTCAACTCAGGAATGATACTGGTCCTCTAAACTTCTCCTTGCTTTCTTCTCTTCTTTTGTGCATGTACGACAAACCCTCGTTTCATCATATGATGGGCCAGTCAGGACCGGCCTTCCATTGTTTCGACAGTACTTTCATGGGATGAAAAATTCTGTCATCACCGATTCCCTCTAGCGTTAAGCAATATTTTCCACATCAATGTCTTCAGTGGATTTTCAATGTTTTCCACAAAACGGCAATGATTTATGTGAGATACACTGGAAGAGGCATATTTTCACTCCCTCTGAAGTTGCTGAGCTAACATGGAAAGTGCCAACTGCAACCTTTGTCGTTCTTACGGCTAATTTAATATTCAAACGTGTTTGAGAATGAGGTATTACATGCATTAGAAACCTTTTGCGGGTGAGCTTTTCTGGGTTTTCTGCTTTTCTTTCGTATTTCTCATGCCAGCTGAGACTGCAGTAGGGATCTGAATGGACGATCTCTTAACAGTGCCCTGTGTACTGCTGCTAACTGTAGATGATAGTGCTTAGCTCTTGTTATAGAGAAAAATATGGATGATGCCACATTAGTATTACAGATCAAGACTGTAGATTGCATATAATATAACAGCGTTATTATTACAGGTTCCTTGAAGTAAAAGAAATGGAACGAATATACTGACATCACACGTACTGAACTATTAACACGTGTTTTAGCATTTCAAACAATTTTTCTTCCTTTACATTTGGATACAACTGATTGAAATAGTTAAAATGCCAAAAAAGCTTCTTTTTTTTTTCTTCTTCTTCAAAAGAATGTTCATAATTTAATTTAAGTTGTATAATATTCATTTTAGCCACGTGACAGAGGGAAGTATTACATTTTGGAAATATTGGAGATTAGTAACTGTAACAGTTGGTTTTCTGGACCTAGTCAAGCCAAGCCACTGTAAATGATTTTAAATAAAATGTCTACTTAAAGGAATAATTCACTCAAAAATTTGCTGAAAATGTACTCATCCTAGGGCCATCCAAGATGTAGATCAGTTTGTTTCTTCATCAGAACAGATTTGGAGAAATTTAGCATTACGCCTCTTGCTCAGCAATGGTTCCTCTGCAGTGAATGGGTGCTGTCAGAATGAGAGTCCAAACAGCTGATTAAAAGCATCACAATAATCCATACCACTCCAGTCCATCAATTAATGTCTTGTGAAGTGAAAAGCAGTGTGTTTGTAAGTCCACCATTGGACTGTAATCATGTGGATTATTGTAATGTTTTTTTATCTCATTCTGACGGCACCCATTCACTGCAGAGGATCCATTGGTGAGCAAGTGATGCAAAATTTCTCCAAATCTGTTCCGGTGAAGAAACAAACTCATCTGTATCTTGGATGGCCTGAGGGTAAGTAATTTAAATTTTTGGGTGAATTATTAATTTAATTGGCGGAACTTAAAGGGTTAGTTCACCCAAAAAATGAAAATTAGCCCATAAATTACTCACCCTCAAGTCATCCTTGGTGTATATGACTTTCTTCTTTCAGACGAATCCAGTCGGAGTTATATAAAAAATTGTCTTTGATCTTTCAAGCTGTTTCATGGCACTCAGCGGGTGTTACATGTATCAGTCCAAAAGCAGTTAAATAAAAAGTGCCCATCCATAAAAATAAAAAAAATGTCTCACACGGCTCCGGGGGGTGAACAAAGGCCTTCTCTAGCGAATCGATGCGTTTTTGTAAAAAAAATATCCATATTCACAACGTAATAATCACGTTAATGTAGCTTGCGCTCACTGTTGTACACTGGAAACAGTTCCGGGCGGATGATGTATGGAGGTCGGTGTTGCGCCGCTCAGAAGTGACGAACGCGGAAGCACAGGGGAAAGATCAAAACAAAACAACGGTCACTAATTAAAAGCACAAAACGAGGATTTGTAAAGAAGAATGTTCGAGGATTTCGATATAAGCCAAGAGGAGACTGGTTTTCCTTTGCTAAAGTAAGGAAACTTTGCTTCCTTTGCTCCTGTTAACAAACGTTGGTTTTCACGAGACTCACCAGCGCATGCGCAGCCACTGACCTCCATACGTCATCCGCCCGGAACTGCTTCCAGTGTACAACAGTGAGCGCAAGCTAGATTAAAGTGATTATTACATTTTGAATATGGATATTTCTCTTACAAAAACGCATCGATTCGCTACAGAAGGCCTTTGTTCAACCTCCCCCCCATGGAGCCATGTGAGGATCTTTTTTTTTCAGGATCTTTTATGGATGGGCGCTTTTTATTTCACTTCTTTTGGACTGATGCATGCAACACCTGCTGAGTGCCATTAAACAGCTTGAAAGATCAAAGACCTTTTTTAATATAACTCAGACTGAATTCGTCTGAAAGAAGAAAGTCATATACACCTAGGATGACTTGAGGGTGAGTAATTTATGGACTAATTTTTGAGTGAATTAACCCTTTAAACTCTGCAGTTAAAATTGCCTTTCAGTAAAATAAATCAGTCTTAAAAAATGTCTTATATTTTGTATAATACCTACAATACCTGTTTCCTGTTTTTTCTGAATACCTGAAAAATAGTCTTTAAACCTTCAATATACTCGTTTCCTGACTGGAAAGGAAACGGAATCAACAATATGTGCAAAGGGGATTAATAAACAAACCATTTGCACTGAAATTTCTCTTAAGTGGAACGGTGTGATGAGGGACGTTTCTTATTCCAGATATCATTACCCGGTTACCTCATTTGAGTTGTTCTCTCATGTTGCATTAATTTATATCTGCAGTTTTTATTTAACGTTTAGTTTTTGTCATCTGTAAATGTTCCCAGCAGCTCTTGATGTAACATGGATGGCACTAAACAGAGAGAGCGGATGTGACTGAGTTATGCGATTGTTCTGCAACAGTTTCAAGCCTCTGCTTACTCTTTATGATGAGGAGTAGTGTGTTGATATACTGTACTCTCTCTGACCCATTTATCATTTATTAAGTTGTACTCGTCCTGATTTTTCTCTGGCATATTTTTACAGAACTCTATCAATAAATTAAGGTTACTGATTGCAGTATTACAAGATTTAATTGACAATGTATTGTCATGTCCTGTATTTTTAAAATCTATTCATTTACGTCTGTCCATCTTGGAACATAGTATATTTATGATGACATGATTAAATACATGAGTAACGTCTGCCTCTTTTGAATGGCCTCTTATTCATTTGAACTGAATTACAGTGCGTGTACGCACTTCTTTTTATAACATTATCTTGAAATGAAGGCTGCTTTAAAAGAAACAACCAAGAAAAGTTTTGGTTAAATATGGCATTCATATTTGTTGATATTCTTACCACTTCGGTGGGCAATACATGTAAACTTTTTGTAAAGAGGAAAACGGTTGAAAAGTAAGAGCTCAAATGAGTGTTGGAGGAAATAATTGGCTGAATAAATATACGATATATAAAAAGCAAAGTATTTGGCATTCATATATACAATATGAGAAAAACAATTGCTGTCCCCAATACTGCTGCCATTACCATCATACCAAACATTTTTTCATTTTAGAGTTTTGAAAAAGATGATAGATGATCTGAAAGTGTCTTTATTGTTTTACCAAACTAGTCAGTATTGAAGTTTGGTAACACTTTACTTGAAGGGGTGTGCATAAGACTGACATGACACCTACATAATCATGACATGACACCTTCATAACCATGACATGACACCTACATAGTCATGACATGACACCTACATAATCATGACACGACACCTTCATAATCATGACACGACACCTTCATAATCATGACACGACACCTTCATAATCATGACACGACACCTTCATAATCATGACACGACACCTTCATAATCATGACATGACACCTACATAATCATGACGTGTGTCATGTCATGATTATGTATGTGTCATGTCATGATTATGTAGGTGTCATGTCAGTCTTATGCACACCCCTTCAAGTGTAACCTGAAGTTTTTTTATTCATAATTTATAATCTATTTAGAACTTAAGTTAATTGATTGCTTGTGTTGGCAAGTCCAAGGCTCATCCGGTTTTTATCCAAAAGGAAAACATAACCATTACCTACAATATATCATTACACATTTAGATTCGCGTTTGTTATATTCATAAACGCACCAGCAGAGGGCAACATCAAATAACATATATTGTCTTTATTGTAACATATATTGTTACGATAAGTTCTTAACACTGCACACTAATGCACTTATTTAAAGTTCACTCTTGGTTGACGACTTAATATGCGACTTGACTTTCCTCGCTGTTAAAGAAGCGATGATGTATTCGCAGCGGAAGTGTGATGCGGCGGCTTTGATTCGGTGTCCTCGCGCATAACGTCATCCCGAGCAGAGCAGTGCGCATGCGCAGGAGCGAGCGCCGAGGCCCGAGAGCTGCTGTAACGTTAACGGAGGAGGCCACAATGCGACTGGCGCTCGGGGCTCCTGCCTTGGTCCGCATCCGCAATGGCCGCGCAGAGTGATCCAGAGAGCTCGTACTATGCGCTCCTCTAGACCCACACACAGAAGAGCACAAGCGGAGCCGTCTCAAAATGAGCACCGGATTCAGCTCGAGCTCCTGCCGCTTCGCGGATTATTTCGTGACCTGCGGTCTGGACACCGAGAGCGGCTTAGAACCAGACGAGCTGTCCGGTAAGACCCGAGCCAGAACGAGGCTGTTTAGGACTCTTGACTTCGACATATTCATGTGCCTTTATTGTATATTTGCTTATACGCTTTATAGTTATGTGATTTATCAATCATTACGATACAATAAATAGTGAGGCAGTGTAATAATAACACCAAATACACTAAAATGGCTTTACAGTATGGTGGCCGTGCGTAATATTCAACACATGAGTGCTGAGATTTATGTTATTATATTATATTCATAGTGCAAACAAAAATTTGGAGTGTTAAAGTTGACCCTTTGATTTGTCTTTGTTGAGGAAATCTGTCAACAGTTTTTTCTTCTTTTATTGTGAAATGCTTATTCTAATTAATTAAACTTAGCAGAAGATAAAGCATCTGCCATTTCATAATAGCTTTTCCATTTATATTATTTATGCAGGCTAAAAACATAACCCAAAGCAGGGAGAATGACGTTATTTACTTATGTAAGACAAAAGATTGAGGATCAGTCGCTGTGAAAGTCATATAATTAATCTATATTCTGCAACATTTTGTTTTATTTTTGTGTTGACTTAGTACAGGTTTATTCCGTCATAAGCAGTTCATTTCCAGCATTCATCAAAACAAGGATTTATTATTATGTAATCTGTTCAGACTATTCGAACCGAACAACTCATTATGATTCATTCCTTCATCTCTAGCTTCCAGTTAAGTCCGAATCAGAATCAGAATCAGAAAGAGCTTTATTGCCAAGTATGTTTGCACATACACTGTAAAAAAAATTCCGTAAAATTTACGGTAAAAAACCGGCAGCTGTGGATACCGGAATTTTACCGTAAAAAAATACGGTAGCAACATTTTAGGTTTTACGGTTTTAACTTAAATTTACAGTTAAATACCGTAATTTCATTAACTGATATAATGTTAATATACCAACCTATTGAAGTACTGAAATCTGTTTTGTATCTTTGTAATACACTGATAACCACCAAATGCAGGTGGTGATGAGAAAGTCACTCGATGAACCAAAGCCCATCACAAGCAGCTTTTAAATATTAATATACGTATATAGAAGGTGCACGGTCTCATTCACACAAACACCAAACACCATCATGGTAGCACACATGACACTGAAATAATGCAATAAACATTCATTTAACAACATTAGGTGTAACACACAACCCTAATATACAAAACTGATAAGAAAAAACTAAGAAGAAACATAGTTATTTCAACAAATTTTAAATGTAATGCAGGGAATTCTGGGAATGTCAATTTACGGTTATTCACTGTAAATTATACAGTCTTGTTCACTTCCAAAAACGGTATACTACCGTAAAATTAATGTCCAATACATGTAATGTCCAATACAGTTTTTCACTGTATAGAATAGGGGAATTTACCGCTAACCATTTAACAGGTTTTTACTGTAGCATTTTTACAGTATTTTACTGTTAAATTCACAATCATTTTTAACAGTGTACAAGGAATTTGTTATAGTGTCGCAAGCTTCCAGTACGGAGGCAACAACAACACATATAAAAATGAGATGTGAATAAAATACACATGCGTAAATATAAACCACAAAAAATACTAAATTGTATGTACAGGTGTGCTATAGATGGAATAGGAATAGAATAAAATAAAGTTGTAGGGATGTACTAGGGTTTAGGGTGATAAATAAGTATAGGGTTATTGCACATACTGTACTTTAATTGCACAATGGGAGAACATTAACTGTTCATGAGGTAACATGAAATAATAACACTGTACCATGTTTTAGTGTTTACAGTGGCTCATTTACACGATCTTCTCATCTAAAAGGCTCTTTCAACCAGCACGTGAAGAGTTGTTGGGCGAGAGTGCAGATTTCCTGTGGTTTCGGGGCTTCCTCAACTTGCATTTTCTGTTTTGGTAGATTTCCACTGCTGTAATCAGAGCCTCAGTTTTCTCTCAAATGTTCATGGATTTTTGTGAAGAAGGGTGTTTCATTTCACAAGGGTTCTGTTGCATCAGAGTCAGTGGGTTATAGTTGTGCTGCTCCATGAACTGCACTGTTTTTAAATCATATGTAAAAGGTGAAACAGGGTGGATCAGTCACTGAATTTTGTTGGTTGAATTTAAGTTTCAGGAAATTCTATTTATGGATGCAGAAGCTCAACAAGGGTATGTTAGCCGGAATTGCGCCAGTGGTTTGGATGGATTTGTTCTTGGCCCCTCCACCAAAATTTTTTTTATCATTTTTTTAAAATTGTTTGTAGCACATGCCAAAAGAAATATGTTTAAAATAATTGGCATAATTTATAATAATAATAACAATTAGTTACAATGTGTAAATATTAAAATGTACATATAATTGTAATTTTTATAAATATGATCAAATGTTATACTGTTCTAACCTGTTTCCCAGACTGTCGCAAATCATTCTTATGGCACATACATCATTTGTGACATTTACATCCGCAGAATTCACAAGAACAGTGTTCGGTGCACAACAGAAAACCAGAAGTTAAAGTTTGCAAGGCCTAAAACACTTGTACATGATCAACATGTCCAAGATAACAAGTAAGACAATGGTCTCACACTGGCCCCTGGCCATTTAAGTATCAGTATCCTTTGTCTATTTTGTTAGAGAGTATGATTGTGTGTCATGCGACTTTGAGTCTTGGAGTTATACATATCTGTTGAGGGTCGAATGCATTGATGAGCAATAAATGATACATTTAGTAGTAAAACTGACCCTGCAGTGAAAGTGACTGGTGTCCAAAATGACGTGCCCTCTGGAGAAGAGCCCGATCAATGGAGCGTGTCCCACACGTACCCTAAAGACAAAGAGAGGTCAGGTCACTGAGATTCTCTGGGGAGAACAAAAAGCCATCAAATCCTAAAGCAGTGTCTAGTCACAGTGTTGTAGCAAGATTTTACTGACTTGATGCTGTTTTAAAAAAAGGAGATTTAGAATGTAGTTGTTTTAAAATGTCATTTGAAAAGTTTTAACATGTCACTGTTTTAAGCACGTGATTGGGTAACATTCTGTGTTGGCCTAGTTAGCTGGGGGACTGAAAGTGCGAACATGCTGTTTCTGAGAGGAAACGAGTCAGTCAGGTTTTTTCTTTGTCATGCATTTGCAATGTTAATGTCTTTTTAATGAATTCACACTCAGTAGTTTTTGATCATTGTTGTCAGTTTGCTGGGGTTTTTTTTTTTTTTTGGTTAACCTTTTAAAAAAAGGTACTGTAGGAGTACCAAGTTGCATTGATGCTATCAAACAGTAATACGATTATACTTTTGACATTGATTTTGTGACATAGTTTTTATGTGTTAGAAATATATTTATAAATATAATATTTATGGCTATGATATGGGAAATATATCCATATATCCAATATATTGCTTTTTTAAAAATAAATAAAACACTTTAAAATAATTATTTAAAGCAGAAGTGTACACACACACACACACAACTGCTGCTTAAAAATACACACACACACACGGGGGCACACACACGTTTACTTAGCTATCTAAATGGGAACATTCCATAGGCGTAATGGTTTTTCTACTTCGTTTACAAAATGTATTTTCTATTGCTCTACACCAACCCTACACCTAAATCTACCCCGTGCAGGAAACTTTCAGCATTTTTACAATTTAAAAAAAAAAACTTTTGCTGGGGGTTTTTTTTTTTTGGTTAACCTTTTAAAAAAAGGTACTGTAGGAGGACCAAGTTGCATTGATGCTATCAAACAGTAATACGATTATACTTTTGACATTGATTTTGTGACATAGTTTTTATGTGTTAGAAATATATTTATAAATATAATATTTATGGCTATGATATGGGAAATATATCCATATATCCAATATATTGCTTTTTTAAAAATAAATAAAACACTTTAAAATAATTATTTAAAGCAGAAGTGTACACACACACACACACACAACTGCTGCTTAAAAATACACACACACACACGGGCACACACACGTTTACTTAGCTATCTAAATGGGAACATTCCATAGGCGTAATGGTTTTTCTAGTTCGTTTACAAAATGTATTTTCTATTGCCCTACACCAACCCTACACCTAAATCTACCCCGTGCAGGAAACTTTCAGCATTTTTACAATTTAAAAAAAAAAAACTTTGTTTATTTTATTTTTATACCAGTTTTACAAATGAGGACATGCCCAAAGGGAGGTTTTTGGAGATTTTGTCAGGGTTAGGTCAATTTTAGGTACAAATTTGTCCCCAAGATATGGTTAAGTAGGTACACAAGACATTTTGGTCCACTTCAAATGTTTATACTGTATATAAAATTAATACGCACACACACACTACTACTTACATGCATACACATTCTGATATCCTGCTTGTACAAAAAATACAATAAAAAAAAAAAAAGTATTTTTGTCATGATACAGTAGGGCAGAAGGAGGGTCTGTTTTTCAACATGACTAGATCAGTGGTTCACCCAGTAGTAGACATGTATTTCACCCAAAAATGGCAATCGTCATCATTTACTTGTTACAAACCTGTATGCCTTTCTCTCTACTGCAAAACACAAAAGAAGATATTTTGAAGAATGTTGGTAACAAGCAGTTTTGGTGACTAGTATTGACATTCATTGTATGGACAAAAAAAAAAAACGAACAAACAAAACAGAGACATTTCTCAAAATGTTCAAAAAAGAAAAGAAATTAATACAGTTTTAGAAAGAAACGAGGGCCTGTAAATTATGACAGAATTAAATGTTTTTAGTCGAACTATCCCTTTAATGTGCTGTGTGTTATTGAACTGTTATTTTAGCTGTAGAACATCTATCTTTTTGCTTGAGTTGTATTGAATGGATTCTGATGGACACTTGAGAAAAGTGCTCCACATGGCCATGTGAGCATCCCGTGATCCTTTACCGATACTTTCTTCCCACTGGCGATGAGAATGCTGTGCATTGCTGAAGTGTTAGCATATCTCTTGGCAAAGAGACTGAAAATAAGAGCCATTGTCATTCCTTGCATTTCTCTGTTG